AATGAGATAAAAGAAATATTATTGTTTACTTAGAACATAAAAAGAACGTTTAATATCTCATGCTAAATTTTTAACACGTCAAGCTTGTCTTAAAACAATGAAAAAAGGACAAATATTCATGATTATTGAGAGTCGTCCCGGTGCTAAAAAAGCCCAAAAGTAAATTTTCTTCATCAAATTCATAGATTTTATTTATTTCGAAATAGATCGTTTAATGTATTGGCACTTGATAATGAAAAACATGTACAATGTAGTGAATCACCAACAACAACTATTAAAGAAAATAATACAAGAGACAGTTCAACAGCAAGTCTTACTAGAACAATGAGTATGTTTTCGTAGATTAAAATTACTACCTTCTAATCCTTTATTATGAATTCTTAACTCATATTTAGTTTTCTTTGAAAATATCAAAGAAGTTCAATGTAATATTGATCAAGTACGTTCCGATAATTTTTAATAGTCAAGAACGTGTTCCAAAACTTACTGGTCATGTACATATCTATCGGTTTTTCTAATCATTATAATTAATTGAAAGTCGTTTTTAATAGAGTAATGCACATACAAATCTAACGATTATTCTTCAAAATGATACAATATATACATAATCATGTGAAAATGATTATGATATGTCATGTTGGAGTGATAGATTTAATATACTTTTACATAAAGCAGTAAGAAAAAAAGATTAAATTAGAATTTTCGTGTTTTTTTGTTATTATCTATTTAATATAGATGGATAGTTTTTACGCTCGTGAAGATATGGAATCATTATTACATTTACTTTGTCAACTTCAAATATTGTAACTAGATAATCCATCAGTTAATTTACCACAAGATCAATTACCTGTTCCTATTCGGTTATCGCCAGTTTATCCGATATCTTCAACATAATATTTATTTCTTAACCCGATCTTTAATATTTAAATTATTAAAAAAAAATTTCTGATTTATATTTCTATGTATTGTACATCGATCTTTTATTTTTAGATTTGTCTTCTTTGTCATAATAAGGAAGAATGGATTTAACAATGGATTTATCAATTCGTAGGCTACAGCAATCACTAGCTCCGCTATCACGACCTATCCTAAATCCTGAAGCACCAACTAATATGTTACAAGATTCAGCTGATCGTAATTCTTCTCATTTGTCTCCTCCAACCGTTACTATGCCTTCACACAATTCAATTCATCAACAACAACAATCTCATCAATATGTTCATGTTCCTCCAACTGTTCAACAACAATTAAATCAAATTCAAGAGCATCAACAATGTGTGGTGCATCGATCTAAATACGTTCAATTACTTAATGTTATCGAAGAAATGGGTAAAGATATTAAACCAACATATGCAGGAAATAAAATTCTGCTGAGCGTTTAAGACGTGCTATTGCTTCAGCTCGTGTTCTTGTTTGTGAATGTCAACTTGAATGTGATTGAAGTAGTCGACCTTAGAAAGAAAAACACAATTTATATAAATCAATATTTATTAGTTATCATTCTTGTCTATAATAAATCACTCTTCCAATATAAATATCGAAAGATTATATTTAGTTAAGTTAAACAATAGTCAGAAAACTCATATAATAACTCTTCAACAAATATTTTACTTCAAACTGATTTCGTTTCATCGAAATTCATGAAAATAACGTAGTCATTAACAAATAGGATACAACTTGATTACATTATTTTTGATAGTTTTCTTTAGTTTGTTGTGTTTATACTAAACCTTAGCGCTTTTTGACTTAGGTATAGTTGGATAAAACATCACTTATTTTACTGAACTCTATAGATTTTATTTTGTTTACTTTGTTTGTTGTTTAAAAATTTGATAAATGTTTAAAAGCAACCAAAACAGCATTTTTTTCCCTGGTAGTTTTTTAGATTATTTTCGAATAATCCCATTCATGACTACTATTTACTGGAATATTGAAAGTTTAATCTTCATAAAGAATAATAGATCATTCAATTCTTTATAAAACTATATTTTGCATTAAAGATTTATTCAGACATGAAGGTTGAATTTCATATAAAAGATAGGTTTAAATTATAAATTTCTTATCTTTTGTACAAATAGTTAAGTAATAGTTTTACGAGCCCTTGATAAAGAACGCATTGAATTTATGCAAAAGAAAATAAACTAGGTTAATTTGAACTAAGTCTAGTTTCCAAATACCTATAAATTCTAACTAAGAATCAGTAATCGTACTATTTCGATCGGAAGCTTTAAAATTGGCATCTATGACTTTCTCATTAGTTATTTTAAGATTCGGTGAGAGAGTTATATATGCATTATATGATGACATTGAAGAGAGAAGTTTTCTTTCCACCGACATGATCTTTCAATGAAATTAGTATCAGACACTCGAGAATTAGTTGCCACGTCTATTCCACCCGACTGTAACAGTGGAGAGATATTTTTTCGAGAAAAAATCTAATGATTTTCTGTTCATTGATTGGCATTTATATATTTTTATGTATGTTCTTTTAGAATTAGAAAGTTGAGTCGAGCGAAGAGTTATACATTGGATTATGGATGCGCGATCAGTTGCTCGTATTTTTACGTTTGAGATTATCAAATATTGCGGTTGTCATTGGAAGTGTTTAGTGGTTGTATTTGTACTGGATTTATTGTACACGAAGCGGGTAGACTTCAGTTAATTTTGTAGTTGATAGATCTGGTTTTTTCTTGCGTCATTATTTTTGTTCTAGATCTAGGGTAATAAAAGATAATTTAGAATATAGTTTACATTTCTCTTTCTTTTAATCTTTTTTGACTAAGCGTTTATGTTGTTAAAAAGATCGGTTGAAAAGTATAGTCGTGTAGCGGTGCCAAAATAATTTTCTGGAACCGTTCAAAGAAGTATATATAGGTTTTATCATTTTTATTCTTATTACGTTATTCGATCATGCATTTTAAAGAGAAATATTTTCTCATGAAGCTCATGTATTTAGAAATAGAAAATAATTCGTGATGTCGATTATTTTTCTGTTAAGACATAAGGATTCCAAACTTGGAAGCGTTCGGAACCGAAAAATATAGAATCGTTCTATATTAATAGAGAAAAATTTCGACACCAAGAATTAACTTGTCTTTTAAAATTCATGAGCTTCAAGAGGAAACATTTGTCTTCAAAATGCATAGTCGAATAACGTAATAACGTTAAAAATGATGAAACCTATACTTCTTTGAACGGTTTCACCAATTATTTTGGAACTGTTGTAGGGCTCAAGTATAATGAAAAATAAATAATATATATGTACAAAATTACATTTATTTACAAAATTGCATTTACAAAATAATATTTACAAAATTAATTTTACAAAATTACATTCATTTACAAAATTACATTTACAAAAACTATTGATAAAATATGTACAAAGTATATACAAATTTATATTTACATGTTTTTATTTACATTATTTACGTGTTGTTGATCTGTTGGCACGACGACCAAGATGCCGGGAATTACTGCTGGGCATTGCATCTGGTGCGTGGCAGGGACGCAGCCTTTTTGACCTAAATATAAAACATAGTTTCCTGATTAGAATTTAAAAATTTAAAAGTGTATCCTTACCCGTGGCCAGTGTACTGATGGTTTTGTACACTGGCTCTGTTCCTATGTACCCCGCGAGGTACATAGGAGCTGTGGGGATTAAATCATCCGTGGCGGTGCCAACATCACGGATGGTGTAACAGGGCCACATTGTCCCTATAATAATAAATCAATATTTATCCAAACATAATCATATTATCACTTACCTGGTTTCCCCCGCACCAGTTTTTGTCGGTGCTCAGCACTCGACGTCGCCGATGCGGCGCATGCCATTGCCTCTCCATAAAAGGCATGGCCCCATACAGTATCATCGGCGACGCCACCTGAATTGATCGCCGACACCATGTCACCAACCTTACGCTCATGATCTGCAACTTAATAAACTCATTTGAGAAAATGATGATGAGGTAGTAATCTTACTTTTTTTGATGAAGTATAAGCTGAGCCAGTAGGCTTAGCTTTTTTTTTATTGAATTCGTTCAAACGTTGTGAAAAAAACATAGTATATAACAAATCTAAAAATTCACTGCATATATATATATATATTCAATGGCGACCTCCCATGGAGCTCATCTCAAATTTATATGACAGATAAACATAATGTGAGAGTATTCATCGCACATCTTCAACGATAGAGATGCGTAATCGTTGATCATCAATCATGTTCCAATGAACTCATTGTTCAGACATC